ACCTCAGACAGTGAGGAGTGTGGATAGTTGTGGACTCTGAAGCCCACCTCAGACAGTGAGGAGTGTGGATAGGTGATTAGCTGTTCTTATTGTCACAGTCTCATTCAGCTTGAAGGCTGATCTCTAACCGAGGAAGTTACCCAGTTATTACATGTGCTTTGTCACCGACACCAGGGAGATTCCCCAAGTGCTCCTTTTGTCTGTGGAGACTCCACACTACCAGCACAGGTACAGCCCCCCTTCTCTGCCCCTCTGATCACAGACACATGCACACACACACTTTCCTCAAACTGGAATGCCAACCTGTTTTTTCCCAGGATGTGACAAGTCTATAAGGACAGGGATCAAGAAAGAGCAGTGGGCCAGGTGCGGTGGCTCACACCTGTAATCCCAGCACTCTGGGAGGCCGAGGAGGGAGGATCATTTGAGCTCAGGAGTTTGTGACCAGCCTGAGCTGGTCTCTACTAAATTACAGAAATAAATGAATAAGCTGGGCATTGTGGTTGGTGCCTATAGTCCCAGCCATTTGGGAGACTGAGTCAGGGGAATAGCCTGAACCCAGGAGTTTGAGGTGTCTGTGCGCTAGGCTAAGGCCATGGCACTCAAGCTTGGGCAACAGATTGAGACTCTGTCTCACAAAAAAAAAAAAAAAGGAAGAAGAAGAAGAAGAAAAAAAGAAAGGAAGGAAAGAAAGAAGGAAGGAAGAGAAGAGAGGAGAGAAAGAAAAAGGTAAGCAAAGAAAAGAGAAGAAAAGAAAAGAACAATGACTTAAAGCAAGGCCAGAGGAATAGGAATTCACAGATAAGTCAGCCATCACTAAACCTTGGAGGACATGGGGATAGCTGCTGCTGCTTCCTGTTTTTCCAATCTTTGTATTTTGCAAAGATGTCTAACTTACAGAAAAGTTGCAAGAATAGTACCAATAATTCCTTAGTACTTTTTGCCTGAATTCCTCTTTGTAATATTTCAATAGTTAACAGCTAACTAGTTAACATTTTGCCATCTTTGGGCTTATTATTCTGAATCATTTGAGAATAAACTGCAAACATGATGATGCCTGTTACTCTAAGCACGTTGATATGTGTTTCCTAAAAATCCAGGCACTCTGTTGAAAAAACAAAGTGCATCCATCCACATCAGGAAGTCACTACTGATACAATATTACCGTCCAATTCAGGGACTCCATTCAGGTATTCCTGCTTGTTCCAACGATGTCCTTTATAATCACCCTTTCCTTCTTGGTCCATAGTCTAGTCCAAGGTCATCTATTGTATTTAGTTTTCATGCCCCTAAATCCACTTTCAATGTGGAGTAATGCTCAGTTTTTCCCTGGCTTTTATTGACAGTTTTGAAGAGCACATGGCCCTTGACTTATGGTTGGCTGTTGTTTCCTTGAGATGTTCAGGTTATATGTTCTTGACAAAAATGACACAGAAGTGATGCTGTGCTCTTCTCGGAAAATCATGGTGGGAGCCATAGCAATGTCCCGTCATTGTCGTTGCTGTTGATGACTTCATCACTTGGTTAAGATGGTTACTTATTAAGTATTTAGTATTTATTAAAAAATAAGTAAAAAGTGAGTAATTACTCACAACTTAATTAAAAAGTATTTGAATCTATGGAAACATCCTGTTGCTCATCACACTTCCCCCACTAGTTGTAGCATTCCTGATGCGTCTCATCTGAAACAGTCATTACTGTGGTGGCCTCCCAGTGCTGATTTCCCAGTCTCTTAATTCCTTCTATGTGTATTAGTTGGTAAATTGGCATTCTGTTGCAAGGCAGTTTTCCTGCTTATTTATTTATTCATGTAGATATTTATATCAGTATGGACTCGGGACTCCTGTTTTATTTAACAGGCTATAATACATTACATTAATTATGTATTTTAATGCTCAAACTATTTTGTGTTTTTGGCCAGTGGGAGCCCCTTTAAATTGGCTTCTGTGTTCTTTTGACATCTCCATCATTCTTTAAGTACTTTGTTACTATCTGGAGTCACAAGGTGTTCTAGGCCCATCTTAGGCCTATACTTTCCTTGCCCCCTTTCTGGTATCAGCCATTTCTCTAATAAGTCCTGGTCTATTTTATTGGAAAATAGAATTGAGAAACCAAGGTCTGGGTTCATTGTATGATCATGGCTTCTGGGATGTCATTGCTCCTAGGTGCCCTAAGTGAACAGTAAATGTTTGTAGGCTCAGCACCTGTGGCTCAAGTGGCTAAGGTGCCAGCCATATACACCAAAGGTGGTGGGTTCGAATCCAGCCCGGGCCCGCCAAACAACAATGATGGCTGCAACCAAAAAATAGCCGGGCATTGTGGCGGGCGCCTGTGGTCCCAGTTACTTGGGAGGCTGAGGCAGGAGACTCACTTGAGCCCAGGATTTGGAGGTTGCTGTGAGCTGTGATGCCACAGCACTCTACCCAGGGGCATAGCTTGAGGCTCTGTCTCAAAAAAAAAAAAAGTTTGTATACACAGACATACACTCACCTGTCTCTATCTGTACATCATCCATGTCACACATACACACACACACGTATAAAACCATGAGACTTTACACTGATAGCTCCAATTTCATTTCACCTCCCCATGGATCATTCTAGCCTTCTTCCTTTACATATTTGTATATTCTTTTTCCAAAAGTCAGAAACCTGACTCCTATAATCTTTAATAGATTTATTTTCTCCTTGGCTAGGAGTTGCCAAGTGAAGGGGGTACAGACACACACAGTTCTGTTCGATGCAGGTATGGAATAAGCACATCCTAATAAAACCCTAAGAACAGAGAAGTGGCAGAGCTCATGACCTCTTCAAATTTCATCATCCTGCAGGCAGGCAGCTGGGAGACAAACCTTGGCTAATGCGTGAGTGAGAGTAGAGACTATCTACCCATATTGGTATCTACACAGAGGGTGCCTAAAACAGTATACACATTTTAAGGAAGAAAAAAATCCATATAAAATTTGTAATACTCGAATCACATTTGATTTCTGCAATTATAAAAGGTGCCCAATGCGACTCATGTTCATCTTTCATTATTGGTATATGTCAAATATTACACCTTTAATAGTTTTTTCCTTTCTTAATATGTGTCTACATTTTGAAGGGACCCTCTGTATTTATAGGGTATGAGAGGGTTGCAGAGAACATTACAGGGCTAGCTAACAATGGTAGTTCTTAATCAAGGATGCTGCCTTGTCATAAGGGAGTCTTTGACTTCAGCACTTGTTCCTTCATTGAGCATGGGAACTTTCTACCACGCCTACAGAAGGGGCCATCTGAATATATCTCTTCCCAGTCCAGTTCCTGACATTTGACAGCAAGAATAATTAAGGAAAAAAGAGAGAGAAAACATATATGATCAGTATGAGGAATGAAAAAGAAGATGTGCTATGGATCCTATAGACATTAAAAGATAATAAAAGAGAATCGAACTATTTATTTTTTATTTTTGAATCAAGTAATTTAAATAGTTGTTTTGCAGATTCCTCAGTTGTTTGGAATAGCTGCTTTGAAGAGTCTGCATATATTAATACATGAACTGAGACAGTTTTACTCCTTTCTTTCCAACATTAACGCATTGGAAACCCCTTGCTTTGTTGAGCTGGCTAGGACCTCTAGTTGTTAAATTGAAGTATACAGAGTGGACAGTCTTGTTTTGTTCTGATGTTGGGGGAAGGCATTTAATATTTTACACCTATGATATAGCTATAGGTTTCTTTATTCTCTTTTCTTTTGTTTTTTTCTTATTTCCTCCCTCCCTCCCTTTCTTTCTTTTTTTTTTTTCTTTTTGAGACAACCTCACTCTGTCGCCCAGTCTACAGTGCCATGGCCTCAGCTTAGCTCCTAGCAACCTTACACTTCTGAGCTCAAGCAATCAATCCTCTTGTCTCAGCCTCTCAAGCAGTTGGGACTAGAGGTGCCTATCACCACACCCAGCTCATTTTTCTAGTCTTGCTCTTGCTCACATTGATCTCAGATGACCTTGGGAAGTCACTGTAGTGTTTTACTTTTAACATTATCTAATTTACATTTTTTAAAAAATTCCTTGGGCTGCTGTGTGGAGACTGAACTCAAGGAAGACTAGAACCTGGACTCTTCTTAGGGGGACAAATCCCCAGGCTGCTGCGGTGCTGTAAGAGAGAGGGATAAGGGCCTTGGACCAGAGTGACCGCAGCGGAAACGGAGAGAACAGTTGAATCGGGGGATGTATTTCTGAGGTAGAGCTGACAGGACTTGCTGGTTTATTGATTTGGGATAAGGAAAAAAGGGAAACAAAAACAGTTTCATGGCTTACACGATTCGATTTATTCTAGATTTTTTTATTCCTATTAATTTTACATATTCTTATTATCTTCCTTTTTAGAATGGATTAGTGAAAGTAGACACAGTATTTTTTTTATCTACCCTTATATTATATAGTATTTTATTATTTTTTATAGATAGGACATTAGAGAAAGAATAAGGACTGGTCATAAGGAATATTTATATTGGATTTTTAATCAGCTTTGGAAATTAGTGTTCTGAACTAAATTTCTGTGTCTTTTTTTTTAGGTTCGTCCAAGACTGGTTTTCAGAAAGGATGCAAGTAGCCCGAGCGGATTTCTGTGCGGTGTTACCACGCGTCCTTTCTCTGCACATCTTTTCCTTTCTGAATCCAAAAGATTTGTGTGCAGCTGCGCAAGTCAGCTGGTTCTGGAAGTTTTTAACGGAACAGGTTTATTACTTGTCACTTCCTAGTAACAGGGCACAAATACAACTGTCATCTGTAATGAGACACTGGGGTAGCGACCTTCCCGTCAAACAAGAGCGGAGGGTACCTGAACAATGATTAACTTCCCCTTCAGAGCAAAAAATGGGGATCAGTGAAACAGAGTAATTTATTTCTCTATTTCATTGGACTAGTGTACAACCCCTTATTTATTTATCAATGTGATAAATATAAATATTTATCATGTGATCATTTGAATCTCTGATAAACAAGGGGCTGTACACTATTCCAATAATTCATGTAAATAGTCAACGTAATTATTTAGAAAACATTTTATTTTGGCTAACGAGGTTCATTTTTCTTCATGAAAAATCACTTAGGCTTCGGGTTTTGTATGATATTATTTTATTTACAATAACTCAGATTTAGGAAATTGCTGCACAACCACAGCCCCAAGAGATTCCTCTTTGGCTACTGTTTGTTGAAGAATACGTATCTGAGTCTTTCAGCTGCAGTTGGAAAGCGGTTAACAGCAGCCGCTGTTTAAAACCAACATCCTCTGCCATTAATTCTGCTGCTGGCCTATTTGTCTCTTTATTATCTTTTAAAAGAGTTAATAAAATGTAACATAATGACAGACATACTTTAAATATAAGTCACTAATTTGGCTTACAAAATGATACACAATTTTTGGCTGGGTGAGGTGATTCATACCTATAATGCCAGCACTTTGGGAAGCCAAAGTGGGAGGATTGCTTGAGGCCAGGAGTTTAAGACCAGCCTGGACAACACAGCAAGCCTCCCATCTGTACAAAAAATATTTAAAAATCAGCTGGTGTGGTGGTTCCTGACTATAGTCCCAGGTACTTGGGACACTGACGCAGGAGGATCACTTGAGCAATATCAAAATAGCCCATTGTCTTCTGGTTTCCATAACCTTTTCTTAAGAAGCCAGAAGCTCTATTGTTGTTCTTTAAAACATAATATTTCTAGTGGCTCTAGTTACTTTTTGAACTTTTTTCTTTGTGTTTTATTTTCAGCAACTTTATTATGAGGTACCCAGGTGTGTGTCTGTGTGTGAAAGTTCTATAAAAATTTAACCATCAATCTAGAAATTAAATTCTCAATGAAAATATCCTTCAAATATTAAGGTGAAATAAAGCTATTTTCAGACAAACAAAAACTCAGAGAATTTATATGCAACAGATTTTTATCTGATTTATCTTTCAGTTCACCAATTATTTTTCTAGCTAGATTGTACTCCTTAAACTTGTCTATTGAGTTTTAAGTTTTAGTTATCATATTTTTCAGTTCTAGAATGCTGATTTGATTCTTTTGCCAAAATTTTCCACCTACTTATTTAATTTCTTAAACGTATTCGTTATAGGATTTTTTCTTCCCCCAAAGTTCATGCCTGATGATTATAATGTTTTTATCTCCAGAGGCTCTCTCCATAGTTACTAAAAACTAAAAATGGAAACAAACAATTCTTGTCCAGGGTGTTTTCATGCTAATTTTGATTGATTTTAATTGAGTACCGGATACTAAGCATAAAAAATTGATGTGATAATTTGAGTCTCTGGATAATGTTATCTTCTTCCAGGGAGAATTTACTTTTGCTCCTGGCATGTGCTCAGGCTAGGAATAGATCATGGAAATCCAATCAGGGAATGAAGTGTTTCAAAGCAGGCTTCAGCCCTTGCAATAGTCTGTCTAACTCAGTATCCTCCTTGAAAAGGATCTCATCTGAAAGCTGGGCATGATTACCAGGGCGCTTCCTCTTTGTGGGCTCTGAATTTCAATTTGTGTCCTTTCTTCCATGTAACAATGCCTGATTTTTTTTTTAACTCCTTAGTCTTTTTGTCACAGCTTTCTGCTCTGCTTCTCAGCCTACTAAGCTTTACTTCAGAACTGGCGAATGCTTTCAAGCAAAAGGCAATGCTGAACATCAGGCTGACCTCTCTGGGTTTCCCTTCTCCCTGGGGCTTTGGTTGTATAAGTCCTTGTTGCATTGACAGCCACATAATATAGCTTTCAAATAATGGTTTTTGTAATATCGGGTCTACATATTTGATTAGATTGAACCACATGAAATTTGCTGTTTTCATATGTTTGAATGGTTGCAGATTGGCAATATCATGTGGTTCAATCCAAATTATTCTCATTGAAACGAACTATTACATTATTGCTAAAAGCTGACTTCTCAGAATCTAGGGTTAATATAACCAAATCCTACAGGATATTGAATAAGTCTCACAAAGATAACATATTCATATATAATGTACATATTCATCAATGAATATTTTTCCTATGGAGTAAGGTATGCTTCTTATTACTGAGTCACATTTAGATGGCACGTCAATGGCACCAGAAATCTCAATGTAATAAATAAAAGTATCTGTGTATCTGAAAACATTATTGCTAAAAATCTGTCCTAAAAGATTTCGCAACTCAAATAGGCATCTTCAATGGATTACTTAAAAATATTTTTTCATGAAAATTACAATTCTGTATTTAACCAAAATATCAAATAAATTGAAATAAAATAAAATAATAATTAAAAAATTTGCAACTCATCTGCTTCTTTTCCTTTTTTCTGAAGGATTGCTTATGGATGCCCAAATGCATTAAGTTTGGATGGTTTTTGCCCTATACTCCAACAGATAATGAGTTTGGGGCTTGGAAGCACCATTATATTGCCTGTGTGTCCACCTTAGATTGGCTGACACCTAGGGAAGCTGAGGCTATTTATGGGACACTGAATGAACCCAAAACAGAAGATGAAGAGCTAGCCGAGAGACAACGAGAAAAGTGCCTTAGAAGAATAATTTGGGGAGAAATTGTACTATGTAAGAGTGAGTACCATTTAAAAACATTTCTAAGTATTATAGAAACAGACTTAGAAATTCCCACAGATGATGATAGCCCTGCCTTTCTAGAATAGAGTGTGGGTGGCACTCTTTAAAGTATGTTCAAGATGACCTCCGTTTTACTTTATTGTGTATTTCTTGGGGTTTTTTTGTTTGTTTGTTTGACTGTTTTGTTTTTTTGAGACAGAGTGAGACTCCGTTATTAGGCCTAGACTAAGGTGGAAAAAATATCAGGTAACTCCTGGCAAATTTCTGGGCCACAAGCCCTCAACAAAATGGAATAAGTCTGGTTCACTCCCAAGATAGATGGGAAAGTACTCACTGACTTCCTGCTTGAATAACTCCCTGAGAAATGGACTGGGAGGTACCAACTATCCTTGGACTAACCTTTAAGAAATACCAGGTGGGAAAATACTGAAACAAAGATGTATGACTAACTAACCCCAAAATTCTGCTTCTGTACAATGCTTGCTACCTGGATGAACCTGGGCAGCCTGCGTGCCAACCAGGATGCAGACCAAGCCTTAAAAATCCGACCCCTTAAGTACTCAGGTCTGCTCTCAGAAACCCCATGGTGGGACACTGAGGCAGTTGCCAGCCGGCTCTTTAATAAAAGGACTCCTCTTTAGATTTGACTTGTTTGGCAGTGTGGTCTTTGACTGCTGGGCATAACACTGTCATCCTGGGTAGAGTGTGATGGCGTCATAGTTCACAGCAACCTCAAACTCCTGGGCTCAAATGATCCTCTTGTCTCAGCCTCCTGAGTAGCTAGGATTACAGACAGGCATGCACCACTATGCCCAGCTAGTTTTTCTTTCTTTTTTTTTTTTTTTTTTGTAGAGACAGAGTCTCACTTTATCGCCCTTGATAGAGTGCCATAGCGTCACACAGCTCACAGCAACCACCAACTCCTAGGAGGGAGGTGGGACTACAGGTGCCCGCCGCAAAACCCAGCTATTTTTTTTGTTGCAATTTGGCTGAGGCCAGGTTTGAACCCACCACCCTCAGTACATGGGGCCGTCACCCTACCCACTGAGTCACAGGCACCGCCCTAGGTTTTCTATTTTTAATAGAGACAGAGTTTCACTCTTGCTCAGGCTGATCTTGAATTCCTGAGCTCAAGCAATCCACCTGCCTCAGCCTCAAGGAGTGCTAGGATTACAGGTGTGAGCCACTTCGCCCAGCCTTTTGTATTGTGTATTTCAAATTAATTGATAAGAAAAACACAAAGATTTCAGATGACATACATAAGGTTAAACATCAGTGCCTCTATTGCCCTCCTAGTTCTTTTCAGCTTTATAAGACCAAACACAAGGAGGAGGAAGAAATATGAACATAGGTAAAAGCAAGTAAATAGATTCAGGTCCGAAGAATTAGGACTGGTGGAAAAGGAGGAGAAATAAAAGTGAGAACAGAAGCAGAAAGGAGAAGGAAAGGGAGGAGAGACAGGACATGCCTTCGGCTAAGTTTTCTGATTTACACGATGTATAAAAGAAAACAGTAAAACTGATCTGAGTTCTGCCATCTTTTTTCCCCTCCTGACTCACTCTCTGGTGAGATCGTAAAATATAGGAAATCACTTGAAGCCGCGAGGAAGGGCACAAATGAACGTGAAGCCTGTGACTGATTAACCAGCCTTCACGAGAAAGGAATTGCTTATTCTCTGAGCTTTGTTTCTTGACCCGAGATGACTGGTACCTCGCAGCCACAGTGCTGAGAGGATAAGAAATCCAAACAAAGTGTGTGAAAATGGCTATAATTGTTGTCATTTGGAACATTGCCCTGGTGCAGTTTTATTTTTGACGCTTTTATCTATGTAGACTTGGCTGGGAGAAGCATGAAGTAATCAGCCCAGCCTGCTGCTGTTTGTTTTTCAGAGGAGTTATTCAAAGTTCGACCCCCTTGGGTGAGTGGAACATGCTGCTCTAGTTTGTTAAAACCCAAATGCCAGCCTCGCCTCGCCCAGACTGTGAGAGAACGAGTGGGATTACACGAAGCTTTGGAGAAACAGCTTGTTTTGGCATCGTTAGAAGCCTTGCCCAAGCAGTAAGCAAACTTCCATCCACTAAAGGCTCAAGATCATCTTGTGATTCCAAGATTCATTCTGGAATAATTTAGTTAACATGCAGAAATCTTGCATACTTATATGGCTTCTGTCCTATGAAATATCAATAGAAATAATTGTTTGATTTTCAGAAACAGTGGTCTTAAAATTTCTTTCTGAAGAGGGAAATATAGAATGTTCAAAACCTATATTTTAAATATTATTTTTTTCTGAGATGGGGTCTTGCTATTGTTGTGCCCACCCCGGGGGTCGCCTACCCAAAGACCACTCACTATCACAAATCGATGCAAAAAGCAAGAGGCAGGTTTATTGCTGGCGCGTCAGGGTTCCTCAGCCACAAGGGGGAAGGAACCCCCTGAGGCTGTTACAGGCTGCTTTTAAGGCGAAAAACTACATGCAGGGGGGGTGAGGGGGCGTTAGGTATTAGGTTGGTGATTGGGGAATTCATAACTTGCAGGGTTGCTGGGCAGTTTTGCTCTGGGGGTTTTTGCGACGGTTATTTTTAGCACGGGTATGAGGGAGTAGGGAGGGAGTAGGGTGTTGCCTCCAGGTGCAAGAGTCTGATATGCGGGTAGAATGTTTTCATTGTTTTAGGACCTCCTTACTGCCTTGTGGCCTAACACTATGTTACCCAGGCTGGTCTCGAACTTATAGGTTCAAGTAATCCTCCCGTTTGTAGCTGAGTCTACAGGCACATGCTACTGAGCCTGGCTTTAAATATTCTTAACCAAACAATGAGGCTATATTATGGATGTACTATAGTTTCTGTATAAAGTTGTTGTTCAAAAATTATATTAAAAAAAAAGTTTTCCACAAGTATTTTATGGAGTAAGAGTATCCAAATGATATCCAGATATATCTTAATTTAACTCCCCTTTATATTTCTATGTACACATGTAATTCTCTTTTATTGCCTAAAATAGAGAAGCCTTGGCTGTACTCTTTTTTTTTTTTTTGAGACAGAGTCTCACTTTGTCACCCTCGATAGAGTGCTGTAGCATCATAGCTCACAGCAACTTCAAACTTTGGGGCTTAAGAGAGCCTCTTGTCTCAACTTCTCAAGTAGTTGGGATTATAGGTGCCCACCACAATGCCCAGCTATTTTTTTAAAATTATTATTATATTTGAGACAGAATCTCACTTTGTCACCTTCACGGTAGAGTGCTGTTGTGTCACAGCTCACAGCAACCTCAAACTCTTGGGCTTAAGCCAGGCATCCTCAAACTACGGCCTGTGGGCCACATGCAGCCTGCTGAGGACATTTATCTGGCCCACCAGGTGTTTTTGCCGCCATTGCCTGTCCTGCTTAGCAGCTGACTCATCCTGGGGCCTGTAGTCCGGCCCACCAACAGTTCGAGGGACCCCCTGTTGACCTCAGTGCCTTGTCTCTCCCTGGAGTTAGGGACAGCAGCAAATGGGGCTCCTGGGCAGGGTGGGGCCAAATCTGCACCCTGTTTAAAAAGTTTGAGGACCCCTGAAGCAATTCTCTTCCCTCAGCCTACCAAGTAGCTGGGACTACAGGTGTCTGCCACAATGCCTGGCTATTTTGTTGTTGTTGTTGTAGTTGTCATTGTTGTTTAGCAGGCCTGGGCCAGGTTTGGACCCACCAGCCTCTGTGTATGTGGCCAGCACCCAAACCACTGAGCTACGGGCACCGAGCCCCAACTATTTTTTAAGAGATGGGGCCTTGCTCTTGCTCAGGCTGATTTCTAACTCCTGAGCGCAGGCAATCCACCCGCCTTGGCCTCCCAAAGTGATGGGATTACAGGTGTGAGCCCAATGACCAAAGTCATACTATACAATGAAATTGCCAAAAATTAAATCCTTACCTATTCATCCATTCTGTCTACTATTAGTAATCATCACAATTTGTGCAGCTACTTAGAAATTTAATAAATAACCTGTATACTCTGGATTCTAGAGATCAGGTAATCTTACTCCCCTATATTTCAAATGAGGAAACCGAGACCCAGGGAGGTGATATAACTTACCCAAGTGTCAAAATGTCAAACACTAGAACCTAAAATCCTCAAAATTCCAACGTACTTTCAACATTACTCCCTGATGCTATGTGCACATGTCTCTGGGTCTGAACATTTGTGTGAGCGTGGGCATTTGCATTTGCTTGTTTAAGGAACATCAAGAATTTTAAGAAGCACAGGTCAGCTCCTGTTCTTGGTAATGTGGGGTTGGGGGTGGCTGTGGAAAGAGCAAAGCCATCACTCCGAAACCCCTGAGCCTAGATGGAGATTCAGAATCTCGCAGCTGCTCTGTTTTAAATGTTGTGTGGAGCCCGTACATATGTTGTTACATTCATCTTAAGTGCCAAATAAGAGCTAACTTCCAGGAGAACTTTCCAGCATCCCACATGAGGAGGAGAAGCTCAGGGGGCAGATTTGGCCCCACCCTGCCCAGGAGCCCCATTTGCTGCTGTCCCCAACTGCAGGGAGAGTCTAAGGCACTGAGGTCACGTCTCTTATACAGGACAGATGCCCAGAGGACATATGGTACCCACTTACCAAAAATCAAGGCCAGAGAAAATGAAAACTTCACCTATTCCTTTTTTCTTATAGAAGCAATATTTTTGGAAGACATTCCTACCCTATGTTATCAAAGAAAAATTGGTGTGGAGTTTATAAAAATGATGATGGCTCTTCATATGCTTTCCAGCCTCATGTCATATTAATATCATCTCACATTCCTGCATATGAGGTAACAAGCCTGTTCTGAGGCCAGCCTTTTCCTGAGTTGATTTTTTAAAATCTAGACTAGAGGGCATATGGCAATCTTTTGGCCACCATGTGTATGAAAATGATTCCTGTCCTAAAAGGAAAACTAAGTGAAAATTTGCAGGCGCAAAACAGTTTTCAAAATCACAAGCAATAAATTAAAATTATTTTGAAAAAGGCCCAAACTGCCTTGCAGTGAATAGGTGTTCAATAAATTCTTATTGACTTGAATTGGTGGCGCTTAATCACAGAGCTCTTTTTCTGGATTAAGAATTATTTTAGGCTCGGCGCCTATAGCTCAACTGGCTAAGGCGCCAGCCACGTACACCTAAGGTGGCGGGTTCGAATCCCCAGCCCGGAC